TTCTGGCAATGCAGAAATATGATTGGCAAACGATGGGGTTTAACGCAAAATTATACTGTGGCTGTACAAAACTGTAATTCGGCCCATGATCACATACGGCTCTCTGGTATGGTGGACCAAAACCAATGAAGCCACCACTATACCAAAGCTTCAGCGTTACCAGAGATTAGCTTGTATGGCTGTCACGGGCTGCATAAGGACTACACCAACAGCAGCTTTGGAGGCTATGCTGGAGCTAACACCGCTTCATCTATGTAGATGTATATGTATACAACAAGAAGCAACTTTAGCTGCCATTAGACTCAAGACCCTAAATCTTTTAAGTAAGAGTAGAGTCCCCCATACAGATATAATCGATAGAATTTACTCAAAAATTCCTATCTTACAAGCCAAGTATGATAGGATCCCAAAACAATTTGTATTCGATAAGAAGTACAGGATAAAATTGAAGGAAACTGACCATCGGGAAGGATTGGGTCCAAGAGAGCTCAAAGTTTTCACGGATGACAAATGAAGGTGTGGGGTCTGGGGCTTTCTCTGAAGACCTTAACACATATGCACACCGCTGGGTACCCACAACACAGTCTTCAAGGCTGAATGCATGGGTATCATCCAAGCGGCCATAGCAATAGATGCTAGGAAGGTGAAAGACTTCTCCATCAGAATACTGACCGACAGTATGGCGATACTACAAGCTCTGAGTTGCAATGTGACGAACTCGGGACTGATATACGAGTGCCATCAACGATTGAATGAGGTATGTAAGCACAACAATGTGACTCTGCAATGGATCAAGAGACACAGTGGTTCTAGAGGCAACGATGCAGCAGATGAACTTGCCAGAAGGGGATCGGCCCTAGCAACTATAGGGCCGGAACCAATAATACCAATCCCCTTTGGCTACGTTCGTTCACAGGTACGTAGATACTTCAATAATTTACACGCTCAGCTTTGGAAAAATTTAGTGGACTGTAGACAAGCTAGGGAGGCCCTACCTGAAATAAACAGTCGTCTAACCAAGGTTCTAATGAGACTGAACAAGCCACAGATCAGGATAGTAACAAGTGCTATCACAGGACACTCTTTAACAAACATTTGTTCACCATAGGTGTTACCGACAGCCCCCTGTGCAGGGCATGCATGGGAGAGGAAGAAACGGCGGCTCACTCGTGTTGCTGACATGTCCAGAAGTCGCTTCATACAGGGCTAAACATCTCGGCACGCCGGGATCGCTCCCCCGAAGTTGCTTGCAACATCAAGGGACTGCTTAGCTTCTTCGGGGAGATATGGCTCGAATAAGCATATTATTCCTGCCCACACGCAAAATACGCTAAAAATGTAAAAGTGCGCGTTCGGTGCTTATTCAAAAAGCCGATATAGCCGCATGGAGAGAACGCTACCTGCGCCGAATGAATGAGAACAATGACCTCGGCGCAGGTAAAAAACCAGTTATCTACCTGGATGAAACGTGGATCCATTCCCATTATACCGTCAGCAAATGCTGGCAAAACAGCACAGATAGCAGCGTGAATAAAAATTTTAACCCGGGTCAACGGTGGATTCTGGTGCATGCTGGAGGAGAAAACGGATTTATCCCAGATGCAGATTTGTTATACAAATGCAAAAGTACTACTGGCGATTACCATCATGAAATGAATACCGATAAATTTTTGAAATGGCTTAATGAAAAGCTGATACCAAACTTGCCCCCAAATAGTATAGTCGTCATTGACAACGCGCCTTACCACTCAACGCAGTCGGGCCCAGTGCAATAAAAGGAGACATGCAACTGTGCTGCCTGACAACAATATTCCATTTGATGAAAAAATGAGAAAAAGAGAACTCTACCATATTATAAAAAAGGCAAAGCCGCCCAAGCAATACATTGTCGATGATTTAATGAAACGACATGGCCATGAAATTGTACGTTTGCCACCCTACCATTGTGACCTCAACCCCATTGAATATGTCTGGAATTTGATCAAACAGAGGGTGGTATACAAAAACGTAGACCAACAAGAAAGAAAAATTGAAAATCTCACCAGAGATGCAATAAACTCCATCACAGCATCAGACTGGAAAAAAGAAGTTAACCATGTCGAGAGACTACAACAGGTCAGTTCGTAAATAAATTATAAATCTAAAGTATGTATGCATGTATGTATTTATGTTTGTATTGTGATGTTAAATAAAAAAATATTGGTACTTTTTTGGAGGTACATATTAGTAATTCACTAAATTTATAACACTATTTAATTTAGTTTCAGGAATACTGGGCAAAAGATGGCCTGGTTGACGACGTACTGCAGCAACTTGTAATCGATCTTGGAGAAGAGAAGTCATCCGACAGCGAGATCGAAAGTGAAGAAGAAGACAGTTTAGACCATGATATTGTACCAATTATTTATAGTGAAGATGAATTTTGAATAAATATTTATCTATCAACATAAAATAGTTTTAAATTATATTGTATAAAAAAATACATGATTAAATATATTGCAAGACTAACAAATAAAACCTATGCTCCAAAATCAAAAATATAGTTTTTATTTAGCTACATGCTTTTTTCGCACCATACGTGACCGCCAAAATGACGTCATCAAAGCCATGCGTCTAGTTAATGCGACCGCGTTGTAACTGAATGTCCATGGATGTGACAATACTATGATCGCACTTTAGTAATTTAAAAAATAGTACCCGGATGACCGAGCTTTGCTCGGTTTTTTAGGTTACATTTATATACAAATTACATGAATAATAGTTTTTAATCTTATTGAAAAAACTTAACTGCGATCTTTAAGCTGCGCACGAAAGACGTGTTCCAGGTGAGCGTCGCCATATCTCGCCTCCAATGCCTCAAGGAGCTGCTCATAAGTCACTTCCTCACCGAGAGCTTCCAGAACAGTTAAGGCCTGGTCGGGCAGGCCTAGTATGAGAGCAGTCATGGCCTGACTTAAAAGTTCTTAATTTAGGATACACAGGCAATACAATGACAGAGAGAAAATACAGGCAAGACAATGGAATAAATTCCAGCCGTTTGCCTTCATAACAGCCTCGAATTGGATTTAGTAGGCTGACCAGGAAGAAGTCCCGTCGAACGGCGGCACTTTGAATCCACGTAGCGAAGGTGTTGTAGCTACTACGGGAGCTGTTGTTCCATCCCCAAGTTTGAGGTCGTCCAGCGTTTTCTTCACGTCAGCCATCACGTTGTCAACCCGATTGTTCACTTGGTCGATTCGGGTTTCAGATTTCTCAATTCGGGTTTCAGCTTCTCATGGATTTCAGCTTCTCAAGCGGATGTCATGTTGAGCAACCCTATCCTTCACCTCCTTCATCTCCTTCCCAAAGGTAGCGTGAAGGTCCTTCATAAAGAGCATCTGCTCTTCCAACCGACGGGCCTGTTCCTCTTGTCCGCCCCGCAGCTGCTCTTCCAATCGGCGTGCCTGTTCCGCCTGCTGGCGGGCCTGTTCCTCCTGCCGACGAGCCTGTTCATCCTGTCGGCGAGCCTGTTCCTTCTGCTGCTCTTTAAACCAACGGTCCTGTTCCTCCTGTCGGCGGGCCCGCTCCTCCTGTCGGCGAGCCTGCTCCTGCAGCATCACCATCAGAGCACCTAAGTCAGGTGCTGCAGATGTAGGAGCTACTGATGGGTCTGCAGCCAGCGGCTGGCCCTCCAAAGTCTGCGGCGTTGCACCACGAAATCTTCTTTGGTCCGTCTCCTGCTGGCGTTGACTTCGGGTACGGACACCCTCCGTTTCCTCCTTAGGTAAAATCGGCATGTTTTTATCCCACTTCTGACTATGGTTGATAAGGATTCCTCTTCCTCATCCTCATAATGCGGAAGTTCCTCATTTTTTAGCGATTCCTCATTCTCTTCCACATCCTCAAAATCAGGCATAAAATATTCCCCTTCCTCTTCCACATCCTCATTAATTAAGAGGAATTTATGAGGAAGTGTTGTTGACGTATTCAATGTAAATAAAAGTAATCTCCGTCTTTTGCTCGCTGCATTAGGTACTTTCACGATCAGGCTTGAACGTGTTTTAGAAATATAACACAGCACGCTATTGTGTGTGTCACTGTGTGTGTGTGTGTAGTACTGTAGTATACGTACCCATCCCACTGTACCCACTTAGCCAGTCTTAAATTTGTTTTGTTTTTGAGTGGTCGTACACTCGTACGTAACTAGAACTACGTAAGTCGTAATTAGGTTTATTGTTAAGTTAAAAAGTTTATGAGATGAGGCCAAAATGTAGTGCTGTATGGACGTATACGAGCGACCGCTGATACTATTAGATATAAAATATGTGACCAAACATATTCAAGGAAAAGGCGCGGTACTTCGGGGTTAAGAAGTCATCTCAAGTCACGCCATGAAGTAGAATATGCCGAGTATGAACAAAAGGATACAGCATTAAAAAAAGCCGCGGTTGATAAACGCAAATTGTCGGAAGAGACTCCTCTTCAACAGGCTAAGAGACAAGTAACTTTACAGGAGGCATTACAAAGAGATCAGTATTGGGATACATCTCACAAAAAAAGCTGCGAGCTGGATAATTTAATTTGCGAAATGTGTAGCTCTTCAAGATTTACCATTTAATTTTGTTGAAGGAATTGGCTTTAGACGGTTGATTCACGCTGTTCAGCCAAAATATAATTTAAGAGGACGTCAAAGTTACACATCTCATTTGTGTAATTATATTTATACTAAATTAAGGAACAAGGTAAAAAACTTAATTAAAGATTTGCAATACTTATCTTTTACCACTGATATATGGACTGAACCTGGAGCAGGAGTTTCGTTGCTGAGTTTTACAATTCATGGTATCAACAATGACTTTCAAAGAGTATGTTTATTTCTTAAATGTGTCCCACTCGAGGAACGACATACGGGCGATGTAATAGCACAAAAATTGGACGAAATACGAGAGGAATGGGAGATTCTCCGTCAAAAAATACATATTTAAAAAAAATACACCATATACCGCGATGGTGGTTCTAACATGAAAAGAGCGGCCCGCGTGTCACAGATTAACGACATTGATGGCAATATACATCAATTGCAATTGTGCATACGTGCGGCCTTGGCGATTGATGAAAATATTTCGTTATTGTTGGCAAAATGTAAGCAAATCGCGACACATTTTAACCACTCAATAATTGCCCAAAGCGAATTAAAAGGTTTTCAAGAACGTCTGGGTCTGCCTCTGCTTTCAGTTATTCAAGAGTGTCCTACAAGATGGAATAGTATGTTTAATATGATTCAACGTCTAATTGAAATAAAGGATGCCATAGTACTTTATACCTCACAACATACAAATTTGCCGCAGTTTACTCCAAACGATTGGCTACAGCTTGAGAGCTGTGCAACAATCCTTAAGCCATTTGAAGAGGCCACCAAGACCATGAGTAGTTCCGAAGCCTGTATTTCATTCGTGATCCCTCTAATCCATGTCTTGACCTGTAGATTACAGAATCTATTGAGACATATATAGACAATATAAATAATACTGACCAAACTTGCGGGAATATAATTCAAAAATTGATAGAAGAAATTACCAATCGCTTTGGTGAACTCATAATAATAAGATCTACACAATCGCTACTTATTTAGATCCAAAATATAAGACTAAGTTTTTTAATGAAATCACTAAAGAAAGTATTGAATCCGAACTGATTTCTTTACGTCAAGATCAAGAAGGCCATGGCGCACAAGCACAACCACAAATACAGTCATTCGAACATGATGTTATTCAACACAATCAACACAATCAACACTTTCATCATACCGATACCGAGACCCTACCATCAACGAGTTCTGGAGCTAACTTTTCTACAGGCAGATTTTTACAATCAATGTTATCTGAGATGCTGGCCTCAGCTCCTAATGGTGACGATGAAGAAAGTCCAATCGCACCCATCGACAGATTTCTTATCCTGAAGTCACTAATAATTAATTATATTAAAGAGAAGAGAATAGGTCTTCAAGAAGACAGTCTTTTGTGGTGGAAAATAAACCCCAAATATTTTGAACTTTACAGAGCTGTGCGCCAGTATCTTTCAGCCCCTCCATCAAGTGTCCCCAGTAAGCGCCTTTTCAGTGGCGCTGGATTAGTTTACGACTGAGTTAATTTTCGTTAAATTCAACCTCCCTATTGTGAATTTTAACTATTAAATTGTCTTTTTTTCTTTCTAAATATTAAAGGGCCCATTCGCAATCTTTCTTTTATTTAAAATTTCAATTCCAAATCACAGGTTCTATATTCCTCTTCCGCATCCTCTTCCTCATCCTCCTCCTCATATCCTCATCCTCTTCATCTTCCTCAAAACGTATTTTTAATAGTTCCTCATCCGCATCCTCTTCCTCATAACCACTTCCTCATCAACCATACTTCTGACACCAATTGTTCCAAGCTTGAGGTTCGTGACAATAAAAATTGCCGATAGAATTACCTAAATTAACACTTTAATTTTCTTTACACAAATTAAAACTTAAAACACTAATAATTAAGCACACTGATTCACTTTATTCCGCTCCGAAGCATAGCTTGTCTCGCCGAATTCAATACTTCCCCGATCGCATCTTGCAGCGACTATAAATACAAATTAGCACCGAAACATCCAGAATATTCAAGTAAACACGCGCAAGGCGTCGAGAGTTCGAGTGTCAGCTTCTAGAAGCTTAGTTCTTCGTTTCGAGACTAGGTGGTGCTGCTGGTAGATGGCGCTAGTGCCGGGTACATGACGTCGACTTAGGCGCGTAACAATATGTAGCATATCTGGGGGGGTCCGCCAAGTCGAGCAAAAAAGCGGCACGGCCGTACCATCTTTTCTCGAAGCAATTCAGGCCATTTTCGACCCCTTATAACTTCGTAATCAATAAAACTAGAGGCTTGAATTTTCAGTAACCGAGTAACCATTGTATAAACATAGTATATTTCAAATTTCATTCAATTTGAACGAGTAGTTTAAGAATTGTAACCAGTCAAAGTTTCTTAATTTTGTCACTCACTGACTGACAGATCATCAAAACTCTAAGGCACTTCTAGCAGACATAGAAGCTTCAAATTTAGAATACAATTAGTGTTTAGTGTATAAATCAAGGAAAAACTAAAACATTTGTTAATTTCTGTCCAGTTTTTAAGATACACTCACTGCATAAATAACTTTGTAATCCCATATAAATATATAGAATTACAAAGTTACATTTGCAGTGAATTAATCAGTGTATTTGTATATGTATTACAGGTGTATATAGGTACGTTGTTGGTACTCAAGAAGTAGAAGGTACCGGAAAGGTAAAAAATTAGGACTATCTTATATACAAAAAGAAATGAGATACCATTAAAAACATAACTTGTAAAAAAAAACAAGTCTAGCAACTCAGTTTTTCTACAGTAAAAAGTTGTGAGATCCATGTAATACCAAGTCGGTTAATTTATTCAGTTCCTACTTAAGGGTCCTTCTGTTTTAAGTTATTACGTAATTAGCTAACCTAACAACATTTTATAGTGACCATATCAATTTTAAAAGTCTTTTATGTTTTAAATATATAGATTGACTTGGCAATCGCACTAAGCAATCTAATTTAATATAATACGTATTACTTATGAGATACATTGTGGTTTCATGCGATGAAACGTTTTTTTTCCACGCTAAAATGATTTCATTTCAACCTAGTAGCCAGAATTCTACACCAGGAGCTCGCTCTGAAATACGGTCTCGTGGACCGGAAATTGCCGTATTACAAGTACTTGCCGGAAGCCGTGCTGGAAAATGACCGCGCCAGGCTCTACTGGGATCGGGCCATCATCACAGACAGGACTATTCTTGCCAATAAGCCTGATATTGTGCTGATGGACCGGGCACAGTCAAGGATATTTTTGATCGACATTACCATTCCGTATGACGAGAACCTCGTGAAAGCCGAAACAGATAAACAAACAAAATATCTGGACCTGGCTCACGAGGTGACCGACATGTGGGGTGGTGTGTCGACCGAAATTATTCCTGTAGTCGTCTCTGCGAATGGGCTAATCCCAGTCAGCCTCTCGGGTCATCTGAGGCGACTGGGACTCCGTGACGGACCGCTCCGGCATCAAATGCAGAAGGCGGTGCTCCTCGATACCGCCCGTATCGTCCGCCGGTTTCTTTTCCTTTCCCCCTAACCCTCGGCCGTCTGGTCTCCCCTGCCGAGGGCTCCCATCTGGTTGGATCTTATTTATTTATGTAGTTTTTGTATTTATTTTATTTTATTAATATTTATGTACATTTATCTTTTCATTTTAATTTATAATTATATATTTATAGAACCCAACCAGGTGAGAAAATTATATAGATACCCCAATAATAATAATCGTTTATTTCCAATCACAATGGTACATAAAACAAAAAAATGCTTGGATTATTGTCTTCTCTATGATACAATTATTGTAAAATTTACCACTGTGAGAGAGCGGAACCTGTTCTAGGATACCCTGGATAGTAGAATGTCTTTCAACAAATACAATTTGAAAGAAAGGCGTAAAGAGATAAAGTGTCTTGAGAAGTATTTAATAATCGTGCCAGAAGTATCCGAAGAAGCTGGTGATCCGTTGGTTTGTTAGGCATTGATTGATTAACATTGATTAGGCAGCCGTGGCACAGTTTATACTAGTACTACTGCCGACGTTAACCTCTCAATGTAATGAATGGAACTTTTTATTTAAATAGTGTAAGTAAAGATGTAAAATTAGTGGAGTGAATAAACAAATATTTATTTATTTATTATTTTATTTGTTATTTTCTATTTATATCAACGAACTTCCTTCAGTAGTACCACATAGAGTCGTTTTGTTTGCAGATGACGCGACAGTTATAATTACTTGTGAACAAAAAAAATCTAAGTAGTTTGCAGGAAAAAATAACCCAATGCCTTAGCAAAATTGTGAATGAATTAGAGGTTTTAGGCTTATTACTAAATTTTGAAAAGATCAAAATAATGCAGTTTCGTCCATATCAGAGATCGGAAGTCCCACTCGCTATATCTTACCAAAGTATAAATATTGAAGAAGTTCGCACGTTTTCACTCCTGGGGATAACAATAGACTCAAATTTGCTCAGCTATGCCCCGCGTGAGCTACGTAAGGATACTAATAAGCAGTGCGCACTTATTGCGTACCACAGCCACGCAGTACCTGGATAAGATACGGCATCATATTCTGGGGAAACTCTACCGAGGTACACGCATTATCCATGCTCCAAAAACGTTGCTTTAGAATCGTCACATTCGTAGGTTCAAGAAATTCATGACGAAGGTTGTACCCCAGATATAACTTACAAACTGTAACGTGCTACATTTTTGAATTATGCCGACTTGTTAAGAAAAATCCTTATCCTTTCCAGCAATTTGAAGAAGACCCAGTCGCTACGGCACACGCCGAGGTTATAACCTGGTTGCTTCTGCCGCACATCTCATATTATATAAAAATGGTTCCTACTACATGGCTATAAGGGTTCAAAACCATTTACCTAATACAATAAAAGCAGTGTCGTAAATTTGAAATAGTACTCAATAAAATGCCTATTATAAAAACATATTACAGTTTGAATGAATATTTTAATAATGAATCAATTTTAATTATTTGACAATTTTCTTTATCTCTATTTACATATTTGACATTGTTAGTATTTTTCATCAAAATTTTTAAACTTTATTTACATAATATAAATGACGAATGATCAGTTGACATATAATATTTATTGAAATTTAATTTTTAAAATAAATGCGTGAGTATTATTTAGTCTCACATTTTATAATATAATTTATATATTGTGTACTATAAATACTACTATAAATGCTGTACTTTGAATGAAATGTAAATGAATTCCTTACAATGATTTCAAGAGGAAGGAAGGATAGGTGTTAATACAAACGTCATATCATAACACGACGTAACCAGGGTCGGATTTCGTAGTATAATTATCCTAACTGTACCATTATTTCATAGTTTGTAGTATATAGTATCGTAATAATACTAAGCGCAAATACCATAATTTTACCTAAAGATCGACTTGTATTATTATTGGGTCCTTTTACTTTTTAACATTAACCCTACGATATCCAGAATTTCTGTATTGTACATGAGTACCGCGTCTTTTAAATAAAATTAGAATTAGCTCCCTTCCTGGTCAATCGGCGCTCTATTGATGCATTTATGTTGAATCCTTGATACAACTATAATGAGTAGCTACCACGATAGAAACTCTATGCTCCAGAAGCAATCGGTTTGAAAACAGAATTTCAAAAGATTTTATGAATCATATTTTCAGATTCAATTAAGCAGATATGGTTTCTTTTATACTCTTTTCGTTTGACCCTTATTGAATATAAAATATATTAGGTACCAATATTCTAAGTTTTTTAGACAAAAATAAAACAGAAATAAAAACAAAACCGTCAGAAACGAAACATATAGATAAACTAGACGCGTGACGCCAAAATCCCGCCACATGGGATAAAATAAACATGAAACGTCAAACGTGATATAATTTAAATAGTATAATTTTATATTTCATGTACAATATTTTTGAGGGTCTGATTCCAACCCTGGCCTAATATTGGTAACGTACCTAAACTAACTGTAAAATAAAACTTTGAAAATGCGTTCATATAATAATTTAATTGTAACAAAATTAATACAGGGTTATTAACCGATGATGCGATATACCATGTTCCTTTTTAATCTTCGTATCGTAATTTTTGCATTTTTTTACCAAGCAGCAAGAATAGTCCTGTCTGTGATGATGGCCCGGTCCCAGTAGAGCCTGGCGCGGTCATTTTCGAGCACGGCTTCCGGCAAGTACTTATTATTATAAATGCCTTATTAGGCAATTTCTGATCCACCAGACCGTATTTCAGAGCGAGCTCCTGGTGTAGAAACCTGGCTACTAGGTTGTGCCTATGCCCTTGTGTTTTCAGCCTGTGTGTTGCCTATGTTTGTGTGCCTTTGTATCTGTGTGCCTCAGAGTTAGAAGGTGCCGCACAACCTGAGATAAGCTCGACAGACGTCGACGGTGCCATCCGTTAGGATATATTTCCGACAGTTGTAGGTATTAATAACCTAATCCTATATTGCACAGACAAAACCCTAGGTTTCCCCAAAGAGGTCACCGAAACGTAGATAGTGGAGGGAGGCGAATTTATCTACGAAGGGCTCATATGGAGCGCTGTAGTACCTCCCGTGGAGCTCTTTCTCCTTCCATACGATCTCCCGGTCGGAAATGCTAAGCACTGCTGGGTCCTGCCATTGCTCGTTGGCTAAGGATAGAGGGGTAAGCCCTTTATTACAAAAAATGACGTCCTTATAGAATGGATCATCCGATCTCGTCAGGAAGTAATGATGGAGGCTGCACACTTCGCGATTACGAGTATGCATGGTGAGCGTGCTCAGAAAGCCACGTCCACCATGCATTCGCGGCAAGTACAGCCTCATTACCGAAGATCTCAGATGATGAATCCTATTGGACGTCATGGTAGTGCGGACTTTTCTATCCAGGGCGTTAAGTTATACATGAGAACAGGCATGACCCAATCGTTATATGCGTGTGTCTTGTTCACACCGGACAAAAAGATGTTAAGCACTTTGGTCAAGCGTGCACGTCACAAACTGACTGTTTCATACCAGCCTCTTCGATACTGATGTTCTGTGACATACCCAGGTATCGGCCTCGGAAATGGTCTTTAAGTTGACGGCCATAGATAAGTCTATGTCCTCAGAGTTAGCAACCCTTCCCCTTTCCGTATAGAGGACCGCACACTTATCCGTCACCAGCTCCATTCCAATAGAATTGCTAAATTTACAAGTGATGTTTAGCAATTCCACAAGATGGGAGCGACTGGAGGCGAATAACTTGAGGTCATCCATATAGAAAAGGTGGGTTACTTTTGTACCTCCTTTCCGAAGCTGAAATCCCTTCCCTAAGCCCTCTAGTAAAGTACTGAGAGGGTTCAAAGAGAGGCAGAACCAGATTGGACTCAGGCAGTCGTTCTGGAAGATACCTCCTGCTCCTGCTCCGCCGTCATCCGCTCGCCCGGATGACAAAGGATTGTACTCCACTGCCACATACACTGCTCGAGGAAATCTCTAACTGTACATTCAATTTTGTACAGTTCGAGGATCCTCCTTAGCTATGTATAGGGCGCCGAGTCATATGCCTTTCTGTAGTCTATCCGGGTGGTGGAGAAGTTCCAATGGTTGCATTTCGTCACTTTGCCAATGATCGCGACAATGAGGAGTGGTTCCTAGGTTCCACGACCATCGTCTTGACATCCATTTTGAGTGCGTGCCATAACCTGATTTGAGTCCAGATGACGAGTGATTCTTGCGCTCAAAATTGATGTTTGTGTCTTGTATATGGTCGATAGACTAGTTGGTATGGAGCTATGGAGGTTGAGAGCCTCTTGAAACTGTGGGCGAGCACAGCGTGACACACCATGAAACCCTTCAAACAGTAGTAATGCAGCCCGCAAAGCCCCGGACATTTCTAGTTCGGGGCCTTACGGACCGCCTCAGCTACGTCATCCAGCGTTATGATGACGGGGTTCATGGGCGTAATACTGACTCGCCACAATTCCATCCAAGGCCCTCGCAGTGATTTACGGGTTCTGACTACAGGCCGCGCCACAATGCGACAGTGTAGGCCTGATTTGGTGCTGGGCCCGCTCCACTTACCATTGGTCGCTCCAAACTCCAATGATTTATAGAGCCTTTTTTGATCACTCTGGAAGAAACGATTCTGGTTGAACCGTGTCGACTAGAGCTTCCAAAATTACGGATATGTTAATTACGTAACTGATTACGAATTTTGGTGGTCCAATTACGTAACTACGGAATTACGTAATTTCTAAGATATTTTTGAAATCGAATGTTTTATTTTATAGGTAGCAATGGGTAATGTAAGAAGTGTACAAGAACTTTGATTAAACTAAAGTTTTTATTGAATACCAATCATATAACTTAATCTCAAATCACAACACAAAGATATTAGATAAATTAGATTAGATAGATTTATAACAAAATAAAGAGATCTTTTCCTTAACAGAATGCTCTTTTACTTATTTGACTTTTCCTGAAAATGAGATCTCATAAACGACAACGCGTTTAGTGTTTTATCGGTTAATGAACTTCTTAATTTACTACATAGATAACCAGCTGAAGAAAAAGCACGTTCAGCTTCAACACTTGTTGGTGTAAATGATAGTAAATAATTATACGCTGCTGTTAGGTAAACTCCACGACCATCGTCAGCACCATCATAGATGCACATTTCCACTCTAACAATGGACTCAAGATCTGTGTTAACCGTAGATTTGTTTACCTGTGACATGGCTTACATATCTCTTTTTCTAATTCCTGGGCCACAGTTAACTCTTCGTCAGTGGAGTCAGTATGTCCTGTGCTTATTTGTTGTATTGGAGTTTGACTTGTCTGTGCAGACGTTGTGTTTGCTGTTAATTTCAGCATTTTCAGCCTTTCTAATAATCTTGTAATATATGTCCTTATATAATCTGACGTCGGTTTTGTGAAGGTTTCTGTTGATATGGTTTCGTAAAATGGTTCATTGTTATGCAAATACTGTAAAATACCAGATACACTCGTTCGTCTCTCTTTTATTCTTTTTCTAAGGGAAATAGCAAGCCTTTCACTGAGTTCGTTGTGCTGATGATCAAGTTTATTTAACATAAACTGAAGAGCAGCATCGGCGACACAAAGACATCACAGTTGTTTTTATAACATCTAAACTATGATGAATATCGTGCAGGTCTTGGATTTCTTTTTCTGTAAAATTTATATTTGATTTCAAATCCAGTAATGCCTTCATGACACTTGATTTTAATTTTAAAAATCGGCCAATCATATCCGACAAGCTGTTCCACCTAGTCTTGCAGTCGAGCATAAGATCCAGGCCCTTTCCACATTCTTCTACAGAGTATTTATGCAACAAGTCATTTTTCAAGGGTGACTTTTTAAAAGATTGAACCAAATCTCGTACTTTTTTTATAGTATCTTTGTACAGAAATTCAGTTTCTGGATTTCTTGGTACTTCGATATCAAATACTCTATAGTTTTCTTCAGAATATTCAGAGTCGTAATCCAGTTCTTTATCTTGTGCTCTGGGTTGGGATTGGGCGTTGACTGGTTCTTTGACTTATATAGCACATCGAGAACCGCAAGTTGTATGCAGTTGTATGCCGTGGGCGAAACACAATTGATGGTGGCCGTCAAAATTTTTGCCCATTTTAACCATTACGTTGGCTCCGTCTGTTGTGAAAGCAACTATGTCTTCGAGGCTAAGTCCGAAGTTGCTCAAATGTTGTTGTATTAGCTGAGTTCCTACATCTGCTGGCATTGAACTTTTTATTCTCACCAGACTCTCTCTAGAACCAGCTAATTACAAAATTTTTGTAATTAGCTGGTTCGTCTACTGTATATTTATATTCAACAACATTCGAGATCTTTACTGTGGATATTTATATTCATATATCTTTTATTTCGGGTAGAGGTCCACTCATCAAATGTCATTGTAAATTTTTTTTTTTGGGACTTCACTTCCTTTAAAAGACGTATCAGTGCGTTTTTTGTATTATCATGTAGCTCCAAAACTATCCTGGTTATAGTTGTTGGCGATTTCGGTAGATCATAGCCGGATTTTTTGAAAACATGCCTTAGGTCTTCAGAAGTACAAAATTTGCTCAACGGGATACCATCCGATGCTGCCATTCTAGTCACTCTTAACTCCATGCAAGAGTCGCTTACATAATAATCCGTGAGTTTAGTTTTCTTTTGGGGTGCTTCATGTGGGGCCGGGCGCCCTTCCTTTTTTCTTGAATTTGAGCACTATCGGACTCTGATGTTAAAGTACTCGCTCGTGGCACTTCAGTGATATGTTTGGCCCGCAAGTGAGTATGTAATGCTCCAGTTGCAACAATTGTTTTAATTGTTCAATTGAAAATATACTGTACAAAAAAAAACACCATGTCCTCGTCACAAAACGTGGACATGAATTCATGTCCACGGTACCTCAAAGGTCAGAAAGATAGTAAATCAGAGCTAATCTCACACATAGAAAGACGCGGGGATTCCCTGTGACCTGTGAACTATTGTTTACCAAAATTAAACTCTATTACTTACGTGTCAAAGAGAATTATTGTCTTCCGTTATCCAAGTCTGAAATATAGCGCGGGGAATTACAGAGAGCTACAGATTACATTCCGGATTGAATTTATTCTCTACGGGGGAATACCCGCTCGTTCTGTTTCAATGTTGGCTGGGTTATCATGTCATACTGTTTAAAAAGAGGATGTTGTTTGTAATAAGTCGCTAAATTGATTTATATATTATTTTTATTTATTATTAAAACTCTTCACCTAGCAGTAGTGGGTAGAAATAGGCTGATATGATGATGATTGATGATGAATGATGATAATAAGGACTTATACTTACTTAATTACGGATTTCAACCCTTCAGTTACGGACTTGTCAGAAGTTTAATTTTTTTGCGTAATTACGTAACTGCGTAATTACGTAATTACAGAATGGAAGCCTTAGTGTCGACCTCTCGGTATATCGCCAAGTAGCGATTCTCTGCTTCAGGTCGTGTATGCGCTTCGTCAGTTTTTGCATTATATGCAGCTGGGCCAACTAACATTTGTCCCAGCAAATTTGGCTTGGCTTGGTATTGTCTGACCTGAAGCATATCAGTCTGCCGATGAGGGCCGTAGCCTTTGCGATACGTTCTACAACTCTTCTACTCCAGGCTGGGATAGCGCTACTTTGTCCAGTAGCACGTCCAGCCGTGGAAAGTTTGGCACCTATAATTCAGCAGACTGCCAGTGCGGCACCAAAAAGAATCGAGTCCGTCTCGCAATGGTCCCGGCTGGCTTCCAAATATGTCATCAGCATTAGGTTCAGAGCCCTCACGTTAGCCCGATTCCGCTTGCATAGGGGTATGCGGGAACGACGCGGTCGACTTTCGAGAGGCGTACTGCGCGTTTCCATAATCGCCTCTTCCAATCCAATGTACTCGTAATTTGCTCTAATTCCAGTTCCTGGGCGACTGTTCCATCATCGTTTGAATCAACCACAACTGAGGTATTCACGGCGGCATCCACGTTTGCCAGTTGCTCTGCAAGTGGTGGCGCTGCATCCTCAGCCGTAGCATTTTCATTCGATGAGGGAACAGCCTCATGTCGTAGCCGTTCGAGTTCAGTGACATCAAATATATTTGAGCGCAAGATATACCGAACTCAGTCTGCCAAGTTTTGCTTAGTGACGGTTACAGACGACTCCAGCTCAGCAAAAAGTCGATGCATCCTTGCCCGATACGCAAAACCTCCGATTTCTCCCCCTTTCACCCTAAAATACGCCCGCAATGAGGGGTACTCCGCCAGTTGTGGGTGCCGATTGCTGGGCCCGCGATGACCCTGCCGACACTAAGCCAGCTGGTGGGGATGATGGATGCGAGGGGCTGCTGGGTGGTCATGCAGCGCCTAGCGCTCGGTTTGTGGTTCGCATGCTGTCGCGTCCAGCGCCAGCTCCAGACGCACCCTGGCGACCGCCAAGCAGCGGCCGTTTGCGCGTTCTATTAAATTCCATCATCCGTATTAAAAAAATTATCTCTAATTATTCTACTAATTCATGTACTTGTACTCATAAACAGCTAACTTGGCAGATACTACTTACCGACGAATTTTCAGGTACAGGTGGGCTATGCTTTAGTACGTAGCCATGAAGGTAGGTAGAGAACAAGAGAACGATCGCCGTAGAAAATAGTGTCCCAGAAATATGGACACCATAAGTGAGGCGCTGCGATCACTAAGTTCGGTCAATAAAAGTAATTTTCAGGCTGCTTTTCCGATCAGATGGTAAACACAAACCACGCACAATAAAATATTTCTTAATTTTTAAAAGTTTCTTTTTGTCAAAAATTTCGTAGCATGAAAATTTTCTCACCACTGCCGCGGAGAAAATTTGTACATTATGCAACTAACTTCATCTACTTGTACTCATAAACAGCTAACTTCGCAGTCGCGCCGCTATAAATTCTACGATTTTCAAGGACAGGCGGGTTATGCTTTAGTACGTAGTGATCGTTCTCCTGTTCTCTAACCTTCATGTACGTAGCGATCGTTCTTCTTCTCTCTAACCTCCATGATCAGTGACGTTACGACTGTATCTAAGGCCCACCATATACTACATTCGGAATGCCGTTTCGGAATTCTGAAACGAGACGAACAGGTCGGCCACACACATACGGAATCCCGTTTTAGCCACAAAATTTCTAAAACGGAAAACTATCGTAGGTGTGTGACGTACCATTGATTTTATATGGACTCGCTGCGTTCGGAATCCCGAATCGGAATTCCGAAACGGCATCCCGAATTGGAATTCCGTATGTATGTGTCGGGCCTTATATGGTGAAAAAAAAACATTCTTAATATTGAAATATAAAATTTATAATGCATTTTTATAAATAGAAATCAATATTTCTCGTTTACTTTTTACAAAATCTATCATAAATATATATTTTTTTTACATTGTGTAAAATACCCTAGTGCATGTCGTCTATTTCGTTTGTCGATTGTTTGCTTTGGCTTTGCCGCGCTTTTTCACCGTATTTTATTTCTTGACGAGCGTCAAGCGTCAACCTTGTTTGTTCGATAGTCGCCAGTCGCCATTTTGTACCGCGTTGTTCTAAGTTCTATGTTCATGTGGATTTAATTTTGTCGATACAAGATTTATAATTAGATTGATCGTGAGAAATTTATCCTTGTTTTGTTAGTTTTATTATTTCGATCAGTATGTCGGACAGAGAGGTACTATAAATTATTCTCAACCAACATTACCATTAGCGCCTCGTGCGCTTATTTTGCCGGGGCTTTAGTAGGCTATAACTGGGTTGATCATATTTCAGAGAAGTCGCTCAAGAACACGCAACGGTTCTCGTGAGCCTGCACCGAAACCCCCAACGATGTCTCGGGGTCATAGTCGAAGCCGGTCTAGGACGCCGCCTCCACCAAAAGCGTCCAGCAGGAAGTACAGGAGCCCGTGAGTAAAAGCCTTGAAAATCATAATTAATTTATCGGGCTGCTGATGATTTGAAAAAATGGACAACATATTTAAAGAGTTATTGATATAACCTCGACAATAGAGCTACGGTTGCGCAATGGCACGACTGAAAATCGGCCTTGCAAACTTAGTTGCGCATCGAATAACATGTTTTTAGAATATTTAGGAGTACCTATATCCGGAATTTTTCTATTTTAGTTTTTTTTTTTTAATTTCTCTTGTTTTATGGAAATCTGTTGAAAACCAAATTAAATATTGTAACACTACCAATTCCATATGCGTTTTTTAGTAAATTTTTTATTGCTGTTTGTTTAGCATAACAATAGAAAAGGCCTTGAATTTTAACCTTATTACGACTATTATTTAATATTAAAATCACATTATTTTAAATAAGA